TTATATATTATTTATATTTATTTATATCATTCAAACAATTTATATAATTGTATATTTGAATATGATCTGCATATATAAGGAATTGAAAAATAAACATCTATTAAATATGATTATAAAATAATTATTTTAAAAAAAAAAAAAAAAATATAGCCTGTTCTTAAAAATTTAAAAAAGTTGACAATTAAAAATAAAATAAAATAACTTTAAATGAATTAATATATCATCTTTACAAAAAAACTTATATACATATTACCAAAAATTTGATTCAGTTAAAATTTAAATTGATTATTAAACCCTTACTTCAGATTAACTAAATTATTCAGAAATATTTATATATTCTTTCAAAGATTATGATTATAAACGCATTTGTACACCTTCAAAACATTTTTAAATATATAAAAAATTTCTCTGTATTCAAAGAGAGATTTTCCCAGTCTGCAACAAGTTTGATTAAATAAGATACATAAATAGCCAAAAATTTTTAAATGTGATTAAACATGTAACATTTTTTTTTTTTTTTTTTTACAACTACACTTTACTGAACTCCTCTGTGTATTTTTTTACCCATTTTTTTTTTTTGCTAACCAATTTTATTTATTTCATGTTTAATAAATCTCTGCCTTTTTAGGATCAAAAAACCTTTATTTTAATTTATTGTGCATCCATGGATTTAATCAGGATGTAAAATTTCTTTTTTTTCCATTTTCAATTTCTTTTTAATTATTGAAAAAAGAAATACTTTTCCATGAAAATAATCAATAATGATGCAAAAATTTTGGCGTTCAATATATTTTTTCTATATTTAAATTCGAAATTATTTTATCAAATTATTTGAAAGGTATTGAATAAATTTTTACAAATAATTCAAAATTTAGAAAGCAACATATAATGGTTTTACTTCTGTCAATTGTATTTGATTATATATATTATAAATAAAATGCTAACTTTTTTAACAAAAATTATTTTAACTGTAAAAGTCAGAATTTATTTTTAAATTTTTTGTTTTTTTACAAATATTTTTACCTGTATGTATTAAAAAAATTTTATAGTTGACATTTTTTTCATTGGTAGAGACTACCGTTTGATTTTAATTTTCCTTCTCATCTCTCAATATGATGGGAATTATTGATTTAATGTACCTTCCATTTACAAAATTAATTTGTTTATAAAGTTTTTTTTTTTGCATATGTTTTTTAGTAAATAAAATTTCATTTTTTTTTGTATGCAGACAACAAAAATACAAATATTATTTTTATGTGAAATATTTAATTTCAACTTAAAATTATATGAGCATTACATATATTTTAGCATCATTACGTGTGAATCTATATACACAATTTATTGGTTTTAAATAAATAAATTTCAAAATTTATGTATTTTTTTGTGTTGAAAACTCTAACTTGGGCCACAAAACCCTTGACATGTTTGATAATATTTCAAAAAATCAGGATGATCCCAAATTGAAAATCTGCCCTTCAACTTGCACATAAATATTCTTTTTTGAGATTTGTTTGGATGAGGAGGAAAGTTAAAAAATTTTTAAAAAAAAAAAAAAAAGAAAGTTACTTTATATTTTTAATTTATATTTGTTTAAAGTAATATAAAATTCGTTAATTTTGTGAATTAAAAATTAATTTTATTTCTTCAAATGCCAAGGAATTTTTAGAATTTTTAAAAAATAAAGTTTAAATTTGAAATGTGATTTTAATAAATGATATAAAGTTTCAGCCTTATTAAATTTGGTCTTTTGGATGGAATTGGACTTATATATAAAATGTTAAAAATAACCCCAAAGTTTAATATTTGCTATTTATTTCTTTGAAAATAATGATTGCTGTTTTCTAATCTGGATAAAATATTTTTAATTCTGCAGGAATTAGCTGAAAAGTTTTGAAGTGAATTTTAAAAGCTAGTATAAATAAAACAATTATACAGATTAGACTGATTCACATAAGAAGATTTCTAGAAAAGGTTGATAAAAAAATAAAATTAATTTTTTCAATATCTATAAAAAGGTTTCGAAAATTTCCAAAGCTTCATACATAAATACCATCATTTTCTGATTAAATAATTTAAAAAAGGGTTACAAAAATAAAATAAAAAAAAAATAAGTATATATATTTATATAATATAAATAAAATTTAGATGCCATTCTTTGATCATGAATTTTTTGGTATTGACTGAAAAGGAAATTACCCTTTAACAGAGTTCATGAATTTTTTTCTCTATGTTAGAAAATAGAACCTGGTTTCATTATTTGGATAAGGGGGAGATTTTAGAATTTTTATCTTTCCCAAGACTATAAAAACTGCATTAATGATTGGAAAAATCAAAATAGGATTTAATTCTTCCTGCTATCCATTACTCCATTATAATTGATTGATTTGTTATTTATTTTATTTACATTTGGATTCCTGATTATTTGTTGTTACAAAAAAAAAAAATGTAAATAGTATAATTTAATAAATTTTCAATTTAGAATTTCAAAAGTGATTGAAAAATTTTAATGGTTTAAAAAAATTGCAAGGTTATATTAAACCAAAAATTTTTAAGTACTAAAAAGAATATTTTTTAATATAATAATGATTTACTGAACAAAATCCTGAAATTAAAGAAACTTTAGGAATATGAACACGGAAGTTTTTTTTAAAAAGGAATAATTTTTGTCTTTAAAATGAACATTTTAGAAGAGAATTATCTCCGATTTCAAATAGCCATTATCTTCTGCCTATAGAATTATCTCAGATTAACAGCACATAATATTCCCAAATTTATTTGCTTTTTTTTGCAATCTAAACAAAAACAAATTAAATTTGTTATTTTCTTTTTTGCATTATTTTATGCCAATTTGTTTTATATATTGTGAAAAAAAAATTTAACATGAAGAAAAAAATTTAAAATTTGAAAAAATGTTTTATCATCAAAATGTTTGTTGTTATTAAATGGAAAGGTAAAAATATTTTTGATTATTTTATTTAATCCTTTCTAGCATGTTTGGAAAAAAAATTTTGTTTTTCTTGTGTCAGTTATTATTGATTAGTATGAGAAATTTTAGCGTCTTTTTAGCGGTAAAAAATGCAGCAAGTTGTAAATTCTTGCAAAAATCAAATAATTGTCGGATTTTAATAAAACTTTCAGGACTTATTCAAAAATGAATTAAACTATTTTATAAATGTTTCTTTTCTAGAAAATCTTGTTTAAAAACAGTTTTTTTTTGTTTTTTGTTTTTTTACATCTGTTTTCCCCCACTTATTTATTTTTATGAAATTTCAAGAAAATTAAGTTTTGTATAATTTATTAAGTTTTATGCTTAATGTTTTTATTAGTTACATACAGAGGCATGGTAGAGTAATGGATAGTGGCTCAGATTGAGGAATAGGAGAGTCGAGTTTGAATTCCAGTCTGAATCCTCTTCTTCACCCACCCAGCTATGGGTAAATATCAGGGCAGACTGGGTTCTATAGCCTTGGATGGCAACTGGTCTACTGCAGAAAAAATGGCAACCTACTGCAGGAAAAATACATGATCGTCTAAACGTGTATCATGCATGGCACATAACTGTCCAACATGCAGAACTCCTTGGAAAATTTAAATCCTCAATTTTATGGTAAAACAGGACCTCCAGTTAACAGAAATCTGCTCAGAATTGTAACATAAAAATTACAATAAAACTTAGACATTATTCAATTAGGAAATCATTGAATTGCTTTTATAAATAAAATATATTAAGGTCGTTATTGTCTTAAGAAAAAATTTTTTATGAATAACAAATTTTTACAAGTTTTGTTTTTATTTTTTTACATTTTAATTAGAATAATTTACCAAGTTTTAATCTTTCAAAATTCTGTATTAATTTGACCCTTTAGGTGATATTATTAAGTGAAAACTATATTTACTAATCATAAATTGAAAATCTTACTAGAGAAATATTTTTAAAAGAATTTTGAATTTTTGTGTGTATAAATGTGTTGATTTTTTTATACATTAATTACTTTTTTAATGCCTAAAGCCCCTGTAGAACAACATTAGATAAATATCAATTTGTCATCAAGCTGTCAAATCTGCCAACATCTTGAATAAACAACTACTGTTGGATTTGTCAAGAAAATCTCCTCCCCCACCAAAAAAAAATTCAGAGATGGTGCAGGCCAAGGAAAGGAGCAAAAGTATTGTTGCAAAAAAATATTTCCTTCTACGACAGCTTAATTGTCTGATAACTTGCATTGAGTTACAAGAAGAGCAATCAAAAGGAGGAAAAAAAAAACATTTCCTTTATAACCACTTCAGGGATCACATGGTAACAAAGTCACGAGACCCTGTAACTATAAAAAAATTAGTAAAAAGCTAACAGCTTTTAGTCAACAAGAACCAACAACCCAGGTAAGTACATTACTCCTTCACTCACCTGAACTATCAATTTCTCCACAGATTAACAAAATGCATTTCTGTGATATCTTAAAGTAAATAATAGTTGTTTCAAATCAGATTCATTATACTTTAAATCAACTAATATTCCTCAAATAAAGTTTCAGAAAAGTATGTATTTTTCTTATAGGAAGATATTTTAATAAAGAGAAATACATTGCAATGAAAGGCAACTAAAAAAAGAGCCCAAATCAGATATTTTAGCAAAAAACTTGTTGCAGTCAATTTAAGTTATTTTTTGAAATACAGTAAAGTATCTATTTTGCTTATTGGAAATACTAAATTTGCTAGCTTGAAATTAAAACTAAATATGAAAGCTTCAAGAAAGATTTTTTATTTTTTTTAAATACATTTTAAACCTAATGGTATTATTTTTTCCTTTTGGAGGTACCTACATTTTCCTGATACAAGTCTTATTAATTAACCCATAGCTGGGGAGGGAGGAGAGGTGGATTCATACCTTTCCCAAGGGTATTTGCGCATCAGTGAACATATCAAACTTAACTGGAACCTTAACTCAGCTCTCTAATTACTCATTCTGAGATATTATTTCTTATGCCATCTACACATCAAAGCCTACAGCTCCTGGTATTCCCAAGTGGTCACCCAGCTAGGTACTGACCAGGCTCGACATTGCTTAACTTTGGGGATCATATGAGAACTGGTGTTTCAGCAATAAATAAATTAAATTAAAAATTAAGTGTTTTTAATTAAGGGACTTTGTTCAAAGTTTTCAAATAGAGTTTTAACTGACAATGACATGTTAAAGGCTAAACTTTTAAGCTCTAAATTGTAAAAGAAATAACTTAAATATTTTAAAATATTTAAAATATTTTTACTCCATTAAATTCATATTCTTTCATTATATTTTGTCTTGTCACTGAAATTTGAGGATTAACAATTATGATAAAATCATTCCGCAACTTCCGAGTTGCAATTATTCAAATAATTTATTCATGTCATAAAAATATATTATATTGGTTGTCCTTCAAATCCAAAGATGACATATAGTTTATGCATCTCATCTGTGAACTCAAAGGTGCCTCTGCAACCCCAGGCCAGAAGTGCGGTCTGGAACAGTGGGGTCACTGAAAGTCCATTGTCGCAATCACTGCTGACGAAGCCTTGTGGTGTTCTTCTCTGGTAGCACTGAGCTCCTGGCATCAAGCATCCTCGAAGGTGACAGCAGAATCATGGATTGTTGATCACTGGCACACTCCTCCAGTTCTTTAGGTTTGAGTTTGCACCTTGGAGATTTGCTTTTACAGTGTCTTTGTACTGCTTTTTTTAGATGGCTTTGGTTTCTCTTGCCATACAGGAGCTCTGTACAGCAGATGACTTGGCAAGCAGTGCTCCTCCATGCAAATGACATGCCCTACCCATCAGAGTTGGTCCTTAACAAGCATTGACTCAATGCTTGAGGAGTGAGCACAATCCAGGACCTCAAGGTTGGTAACATGGTCCTTCCAGTGTTTGCATGTCTATATTTAAAGTTGAACATTGGTAAACTTATGCATTTCATACAATTTATCAATGATCTTCCTGATGTCATTACTTCTCAATGCTGTATCTGTGCCAAAGACACAAGAATTTACTCCTGTCTTAATACTTAGTCTGACAGGTTTGATAAAGTCAAATTGGCAGCCGATCATGAAAATGACTCAATAAGTTGTTAACTAAGGCAAGAAATGGCTTGTTAATATTAACATCTCCAAAACTAAAATACTCCCTTTTAATCATCATAGAGAACATTGTTTGCATTTCCCTCAACATGGCTGATGCTAATCTCCAAAAGAGTAACTCACTTCTTGGTCAAACATTTTCCACTGATATAAACTGGAATGATTATATTGAGCTAAGTCTACTAGTAAGAAAGTTGATTCACTGTGTCATATCATGTTTCTGATCCTAATAAGTATCAAACTTTACATGAAAGTAGTTTCTATACAGCACATTTTTAAATTCAGCTTTTAATGACAGTAAAAATTCTGAATAATACACATCACAAAATTATGTGAACTCTCCAGCGTGGTTTTCCATGTGCCTTTTTAAAATAGCAAGGGTTGAAAATGATTCTTCACATAATTCACATGGATATGGTTTCCTTCTAGTGTGTTTTTGCTTGTGATTTTTTAAAGTTGAACTTCGTGCAAATGCTGATCCACAGACATCACAAGAAAATGGTTTCTCTCCAGTGTGTTTTCGCATATGTCTTTTTAAATTTGAATTCTGAGAAAATGCCGATTTGCATACTTTACAGGAATATGTTTTTTCTCCAGTGTGTGTTCGTAAATGATTTTTTAAAATAGAGTTCCGTGAAAAGGCTGATCCACACACTTTACATGAATATGGCTTTTCTCCAGTATGTGATCGCATGTGTCTTTTTAATGCTGAATTCTCTGCAAATGCTGATCCACACACTTCACATGAATATGGCTTGTCTCCAGTGTGTGTTCGCATATGGCTTTGTAAATATGACCTCTGTGAAAATGCTGAACCACATACCTCACATGAATATGGTTTTTCTCCAGTATGTGTTCGCATGTGCATTTTCAAATGTGAACTCTGTGAAACAGATAATCCACAAATGATACAAGAATATAGTTTCTCTCCAGTATGTGTTTTCATGTGAGTATTTAAATTTGAATTACATAAAAATGTTAAACCACACACAATACATGAATATGGTTTCTCACCAGTATGTGTTCGCATGTGAGTTTTTAAAGTTGAACTCTGTGAAAATGCTGAGCCACACACTTCACAAGAATATGGTTTCTCACCAGTATGTGTTAGCATGTGAATTTTTAAACTTGAATTCCACGAAAATGCTGACCCACATACTTCGCATGAATATGGTTTCTCTCCAGTGTGTGTCCGCATGTGTCTTTTTAAATGAGATCGCTGTGAGAATGCAGAACCACACACTTTACATGAATATGGCTTCTCACCAGTGTGTGTTCGCATATGAGCTTTTAAATTTGAATTCTGTGAACATCTGAAACCACATACTTCACAAGAGTGTGTTTTTTCCTCAAGGTGTGTTCGCTGGTGAGTTTTTAAGTGTGACTTCTTTGAAAATTCCAATCCACATTCTTCACATTGATAAGGATTTTCTTTATACAGTGTTTGTGTGTTTACCTTTTGATGAGAAGTCTTTTCAACAGACATTTTCTCACTTGTCATATAAATATACCTAATTTTTTAGAGTTTCTTTTTAAATATGTTTTAAGTACAATAGTTTTTTTCTCATGAATTTCATCAAATTTACACTCATAAAAAAAACAGAAAATTCATTTTATTTTTAAAAATATTTCTATAAGGTTTGTCTCTATATTTACATACAGCCATCAGATGAGCCCTTTTTTTCTACCATATTTGAAATACCTGAAAGAACAAATATTTTAAAGATTATTAAAGTATTATTAGTGATCAAAAGAATTCAGTAATACTTTAATAGAATTAATGTATTGTTAAATGAATTATTTGCAATTATAAATTTATATGAACTCAATATGGATTTCAGTGTACATACACTGCAGTTCAGAAGTTTCAGGCAACCTCTGGTAATTTTTTAAATTGGCCCAAAAAGTAGTTTTTGTACTTAAATAAGAGAAAGTTATTATATATGGTTAAAAACAAAAGCAAGACATGATCTTTTATTGGAAATTTTATTATGACTAAAAGAAAAAAGCATTTTATGATTAAATTTTGCTCTCGTCAAAATAAACTTCTTTAGCCTTGATTACTACAGCACAAATGTCTGACATTCATTGCAAAAGTTTCTCAAAGTGTAAGTTTAATAAATGATTTCTTTCATTTTTCAATGGCTCTAAGAGTTCTTTTACATTTTCTTTTACTCTTCTGTAAAATTCTTCCCATGATAATTCTAGAGGTGGCTTCAAACTTTTGAACTCTAGCATATCTCAGTATAGATTTGAAATCATAAATAATGAGATGAAATAAAATAAAAATAAGATAAAAACAAATCACTTAAATATACTATATACAGGGTGCAATGAATAAATTGTTGTCTAAATTATACAAAAATGAAAATAACATTGTCATCTCATTTTAACAGATATATTTACCGAAATTACAGATATCTTGAAATACTAAAGAATAAATGTATTCAATAAAATCACCATTGGATTGGCTTGAACCATGGCCTCCAGATGACTTCAGAATTTCCTACAACTCTTCTGGATGGTCTTTTTTAAGTTGGTGAATGCTTCCATAATCCTTGCCTTAGAAGTTCATCTTTGGTGTTAAATTTTTTTTTTTGTCTCTATATTTTAAATATTTGCCCACACGAAACAAAAAAAGTTGCAGTTTGGGGAGTTAGGTAAAAAAGAGGTTTGGGGTGATGTCGTCCAAAATTGTCTGGCAAGTGGTGCAGTCCTGTTGCCAGACATTTATTTCTTCCAGCAGCCACCCTTTTGTTAAAAGCATTATACCTCCTCAAAGCATGTTTTGATGCAAAGCCACTTGAATGTTGAATCCATGAGGCCCTGTGAGAAATGAATGGAGGTTAACATTGTTTTCTTTTTTAAGTGATTAGCTCCAAACATTTCAAAAACATTAATTAGATACATCCAACTCTTTTCTGAAAAATTGCACTGTATGAAGATTGAACCAAAACACTCTGAAATGTTCAGTTTGTATGGGACATGAATGCCATTTTTACACTAAATAATTTCCAAATTTCTTAAGTAAATTTGTATTTATTTTAGTCACAGAAATTTGCCCAATGGACTCTCTTTGGCCTTTGTGTAGATGACAAAAAAAAAAACAATTTAGACAAATATTTTCTTAAAAATATAAAATGGCGACAACTGCACACTTTATTATTGTGTTTGTGTAAATTATTTCACATAAAATAATTAATTTGCACTTAAATATGGCATAATTTTGAAAAGGGCATTCAGCAATACATAAATATACATTACAGTATTTCACATTGCATTAGTTAACAGGTTTCACAAGAATATTTTTCAAGATAAAACAATTGTTCTCTATTTTGTAAAAATTGAAATTTTATTCATACCCTTAAAATGAGAATAAACATCAACAAATAAAAAAAAATAAAAAGGAAAACATTTATATTATTATAGAAATCATTCTCTACTGCAAAATTTGTAATCATATTGAAATTTAATTTGTTTTACTATCCAGTTGCAAAATTCTAATTTCTCTCATATCAGGCCTTAAACCATATTTATACTATGGGTCAAGCCTCTGGCTGCAACCTCCCCTAGTAAATGAAAATTAAAAATTTTTAAATTATTCCATTTTAAAATTTCCAAATTGGCTTATTGAAATTTTTTATTAAATCTGATAAAAGTAGAACTTTTTTCTTTCAAAATAATTGTTTTGATTTTCGAGTAGAAATTCAGTCTCAATCAATGACAAATGCAAAAATTTAAATATAAAAAAAATTTATTATTTCAATAATACAAAATAATACTGTTGTAAAATCCAGAACAAATTTTTACCCTCAGCAATAAAATATAGAATATACAGTCTGAAATTTTTTTTTTCCTTAAAAAAATTTACTTCTTTAAAATTCAGAATCTTAACAATTGGTTTTTAATCATTATTGTTAGGCTCATTTTTATTGGGTCAATCTCATGTTTTCCTATATCAATAACTCACTCTCTGACTGTTAACTGGTATT